TAACACCATTGTTATTGTAATTCACATAACCGCACTGATAGTATTGGATGCCTTTTATGTTCATTGTTGCCTTTTTAAAAATACACACTGCTCGGGGAAGAAGGAAAAAAATAAATCCTCACATATAATAGTAGCAGATGAATAAATTGGTCGTAATCTGAGTGTGTGTGTGTGTGTGTGTGTGTGTGTATAGTGCGGTATTCATAGGTGGTATGTAAAAAGGCCGTCTTTATCAGTTATCAGGGGAGGCCAAATTGACACAGAGGAATCACTCCATTGTGTGCGGATTCAAAGAGAGATGTGAGCACATTGGATGTCTCCATTTCCAATAACTGTGACCTTGAGGCGAGAGGAATAGCACTGTGCCCCCCCCCCCCCCACACTACCACCAATCTGCTGACTGCTGAAATCAACCACAGCCAGCTGATTTTGGGCTATTCGGTGCTACCTCAGGGTTATTCTATAGGGTAAATTGAGTTTGAGGCTTTTATGTTTTTTTTCTGATCCGTGTGAATACAAATTACAAAGGCCTGTGTACATTTTTGGTGTGGAGGGGAAGATTTGGAGCTTTGAGGTTGAAGCTGTGTTAACCAGAGAGGAGGAAGAGATGGAAACAAGTCCAATGTGGCCTCTGGAAGTCCGGCTGATTGTGAGAACCGTTCCACCAAAGCAGAGAACAACTTCACGAGTAGTAGTCGGAGGGAAACTGACCTCAGGTTGTCCCTTTTTATCCAGTTTTGTTTTGTTTAGTGGCAGCAGGCTTAAGTCTGATAATCATCGTGCTTTATGTGGAACCAGTGATTCATCACTTATCATCATCATCATCATCATCACTGTGATACCAGAGGTTTTTAAATCTTTAATCCTCACAAATATAATAAACATGGCCACACACTCACTCCAGTCATTGAAAAATTGTCTACGTAGAACGCTTTCAAACTGTAGACACTGAGTCATTAGTACCAGACAGTAGAAGCACGGATTGTACCATGTAACCTTAATCCCCGACTCATTTTGATTTATTTGAATTGCTTTTAAAAATAATGTTTCTTAAAATAAGGAAATACATTTGCCATGTATCTGGCAGGTGGCAGGTGCTCACTTTTATTCTCCTGGCAGGAGCACAACAGAACAAGAAGGTTGTCAAATTTAAATGAATATTTGCAAGTTTTTTTTTGCTCCCAAACCAGAAATTTGGGAGCTTTGTCCGTTTGGGAATAGATGATGTTGATGTTGTGAATTGTCAGTATAAGTGGTGGATCAATATGCAACATCGATCATTAAATTGACTGGTGACCTGTGTTTAAACAGCCATTAGCGGATTGAGGTGTGTGTTTCTTTATTTTTGTGTGTGTGTGTGTCTGTGTCGGACCAGGTCTATACAAAGAAGCCAGGTTCCCTTTTTAAGCACTCAGCCTAATTAATCCATCTCTCGATGACAAAAGGACTCCCGCCCCTCCTTCCTCCGGACCCCGTCCCATTGGCATTTTGGGGGGCAGAGGGATTCAGCAGGACCCCCGGGCACCTGACCCCTGCCCCCCCACCAGGGGAGCATCTGTGGATCGATTCAGGGGGCCAGCTGGCACCAGGGCAGAGGGGGGGGACAGGACCAGTACTCATACCAAAAATGCACCCTACTCGAACGGAAAAAGTCACTCTGCAACATTTTAATTTTATTATGCAGCGCAGAGAAACTGTAGGCGGGTTTGATATCTTTTATTATTTTATTTACAAAACAGTAAGTCAGAGCGAACTGTTGGTCTTAAAGGATGTTCTGCAGTTGAACTGAGATGCAGCTAGGGGGCAGCATACAGCCATCACACAAACACACACACACACACAGAGGTATTTAGAGAGCATATTTATAGTCCCATTCTCTCCGTAATAAATTAAACTTCTGCATTGTCCTTCCCTTTCATTTTACACAGTCACATCCTCCCACCCACACACACCCCCCCACGCACACACAAAAACACACACTCTCTCAAACATACACTCACTCACATGCACACACACACACACATTGATTGACAAGCAGCATCCGGGGAGATTGAGCAGATTTCCATTGTTTGCTGTCCCTACTCAAATCTGTTGAAACGGTTATTCCCTTCTTGTGCCGGAGTATTTGCATATCCTTAAGTATTTCCTATTTTCAATATCCCCCCTTCTCCTTTCTGCTAAATCCCCTCTTCTTAAGTGTTTGGTGCATTTAGCAAATTCATTCATAACGTATCTACATGCCCTATTAGCTTAGTCTAATAGCCGGGGTGTAATCTGCAGAGAGATAGGAGGTGGAGAGTTCTTCTCCCCATCTTCCTCCTCTCCTGAAACGTCATTATGTTCCACAGCTAAAGCGCCAAGGCTCAAATGTCAGCACGAAATGTCAAGTGGCCTCTCTAGTCAATTGGTCGGTTTCTTCTTCTGTTGTTTTTTTATTTAGGTATTGGTCCGAGCAAGGAGCGAGAGATGGAAGGATGGGAGGGTTAGATGAGATGTACGGAGATAGAAGGAAGGATAGGAGGGTTAGATGAGATGTACGGAGAGAGAAGGAAGGATAGGAGGGTTAGATGAGATGTACGGAGGGAGAAAGAAGGACAGGAGGGCTAGATGAGATGTACGGAGGGAGAAGGAAGGAT